CACTAACAAATGCACAGATCTGCACCACGCTTTGTATAATATTAGGTTTGCTTTATTGGCTTATCCTTGTATAAATATAACATTATTGTACTTACGAGCAGCACATAATAGGCTTTGCAATCTGGAGGGTCAAATCCATCTTGTACTTTTTTAATAGAATTGGGGTGAGAGCCCCCCATTGCCTTTTAAAATTAGCACTTATCTGCATCTTGAGGGGATATGTAAAATATTCATTGGGAGTACATTACATTTATAATCAAATTGTGGAGATAATTCATAAAATGATGTTTTTTAATTCAAGAAGCAAGCAGAGCCCATACTGAGTATTTGTCTAGCTATAAAATTTTCAAAGTTAATTTTTCTAGTTAAACTTTTAGTTTTTGTATAGCCTTTATTAATTATTCCAAAGACTTCAAAACTAAAAGAGTATATAGTAGCATTTTGTAAAATTTTATTGTAATTGTTTTTCATTGCTTTAAAATAGATTTTTCATATAGGTAAATGGATGCAACTAGAGATCACACTCACAAGTGAAATAAAGCAGACCTGCATGTGTGAACTCCATATTGTCTCCCTAGTGTGAGAATCTGAAAGTGTAAATAAAATCTGAAAATTACAATAGATATTGTGAAAGGGAAAGACACTGCCCAATAGGAAAGAGCAACTGGGATGAGGGAAAGGAGAAAAGAAACAAAGGAAAGGAAAAAAATGTATGTGTATATATATACACAAGATAGCTAAGATAATTATACTACTAATTTCTACTGGTTTTTTAAAAGGAAGAGTTAATATTTAATTGTTTGATCAATCTTGCATACCTGCATCTGGTAATTTGCACAACTACCTTGAAGATAACAATAAGTAATACAACAACTGTTGTTGATTTCCTATCATCTTGTTTTGAAATTCTGTATTGTTTTTATAGTTTTTGTGTTGTTTTGTTTTTGTTATTTTGCTTTTGTTCTTTTCTCTTTAAAATGAAAAATAAAATAGATTTTTAACATTTATTTCATAACATGCTACTCTGTTAAAATTTCTTGCAGAAGAGTCTTTTGGATTATTGCATATAAAAATCATGTAATTTGCATATAATTGTAGTTTGTTTCTTCCTTCTCAAAAATGTGTGTATGTGTATGCATGCACGAGCATGCACTTGTCCTTTTAGGACCTTTGGCGGAAACGGATATCAAGGTACCATCTCTATCTTATTCCCTATCTTCAATGGAAAGATCCTCCTTACATTTCAACAATAACAATGATTTTTAGGTAGATGGATTTTCCTTAGAAAAGCTTACTATTGTATTAGGTTGTACAGAATTTTACCCTGAACTGATATTGAACTCTGTCAAACATTTTTTTGGATCCATTGTTATGGTCATATGCTATGTACACTTAATTTGTTAATGTGATGAATGATTTTTATTATTTGCTTCAATATTAAACAAATCCTGTATTCTCGAATATAAACAACTTTATCATAATGCATTCTTATCTACTAGACTTGTTTACTCACATTTTCTTAAGACATTTGATCTATTTTCATGAATATGATTAGACTATGATTTTTGATTTCAGACTCTTTACCCCAGGTTTGCTATCTATGGTATAAATATTTTCTCATTTTACAAGAAATACAAATATAAAACACACTGTTTTGTAACTTAAAGGCCTCAGGGGGAAATTCAACAACCCAGTATCATGACAACCAATTTCACACGCTCGGGGTGCTCCCAAGTCATCTTTCACTTGGATCTCTGTTTCCAAAGTACTCTTCTTAAGGCACCCTTCACCTCGGCATTCCTCAGACTGTAGATCAGAGGGTTCAGTGCAGGGTTGAACAGGCTATAAAACAGTGATAGGATCTTTCTCTGCTCTTGAGAATGGCTGGACTTGGGGGCCATGTACATGGCAACGGCACTACCAAAGAAGAGCCCCACCATGCAGAGGTGGGAGGAGCAGGTGGAGAAGGCCTTTCTGTGGCCCTCCCCTGACTGTATCCTCAGGATGGCCATCAGGATGCGGGTGTAGGAGACCAGCACCAGGCACAGGGGCCCCACTAAGACACACACAGAACCTGCAAAGAGGACAATGTAGTTTAGTCTAGGGTCAGCACAGGCCAGTTTAAAAACTGACATGATTTGACAGAAAAAGTGGTTGATTTTTTGTGGCCCACAAAAGGGCAGCCTCAGAATAAGAGTGATATGGACCAAGGCCAAGAGGAAGCTAAATATCGAGCAAGTGGCAGCCAGGACGGTGCACAGCCTCCAGCTCATGATGAGAGTGCACTGGAAGGGGTGACAGATGGCAGCGTACCGGTCATAGGACATCACCACCAATACCATGCACTCTGTCACAGCAAAAGCCAGATACAAAAATGTCTGCAGTATGCATGGGGCAAAGGAGATAGTCTTTTTGTGCATCACAAGATTTGCCAGCATCTTTGGGGCCGTGCTTGAAGCGTAGGACATGTCAACAATGGCCAGGTGTGAGAGGAAGAAGTACATGGGGGTGTGCAGCTTTGAATCCAGGCAGATGAGCCCCAGGATGACCCCATGTCCCACCAAGGTGAGGCTGCAGAATAGTAAGAAGAATCTAAACAGGAGCAACTCCAGGCCTGGGTCAGTCTGGAACCCTAGGAGGATGACTTCAGAGATCTGTGTCTGATTGCTCTGCATGTTCTTGTGATGGATAAATGCTATGCTGCACTGAATTGCAGAGCTGAAGGGTAGAAAACACCAAAAAAGGAGATGTATCAATTTTTCCATTTGAATATACACAAGGGGACACAAAGTAGTAATGTATGGGAACATCTAGTGTACAGTCTGTTGTGTTGACTTCCGAATTTGAATTTGAGAGATATTTAACAATGTGGTTATTAACCAATATTAAAATTTTGGATATTTAATATAAGAGAATAAGGATTTAGGACACGTTTTGAAAATTAGCTTTGTCATTTCATGATACTTGTAAGCAATAGTGAGCTTAGTTTTAAGGATGGAGATGGAGTCAAATCCTGTTTCACTAACCACTATTTTCCACCAGCCTATATTTTCCCCAGGAATTAGACACTTAAGATTTTATCACTGAACTTACACTACTAAATACAAGTTCAGATAAACAGAAAGCACTTTCGTGCTCAAGATGGATTCCTAAGTTCTACTTTAAAATGTGGATATGAGAAAAAATATAAAATAAAAGCCTCAAATGGATAACCAGAGCTAAAGTGACTCTTCCGAAACAGCCAACATGAATCAGAAATATAGTGTGCTGCAAGTATGTAAAACAGACAGTAATACCTGGAGCTTATCTTTTGAAAGATCAAAGCAAGTTATTGAGAGACAGGGACATGGCATGATCATCTGAACCTAAGGGCTCGCACTGGGCCCCTGAAAAGAGATTTAAAACAGTTACTGGGCTGCTGGACAAAGATATAATAAAACAATGCATACAGGTTGCTTCCAAGATGCAGCTGTTAAGAGTTGTACTGCTATAAACATAGGTATGCATGTATCACTGTAAGAGGATGTCTTTAACTGTTTCAGGAAGATGCTTAGAAGGGGATTAGCTGGGTGAAATGGAATTTCTAGTTTTATGAGGGAAGGGGAAGAAGGAAAGGAAAAAGTGATCGCAAAGGAGTAAAGATGGGCAATGTATGAGTATCGATGCCACCCAAGGAGTGTAAACAGTATACATGGTAAACGTGCCCTGAAATATTATATATAATCTCTATAATTTGACTGTCAAACTGAGAGACACCTTCATACAACCAGATTTTGTATGAAGAGGATCCATGAAACCAGGTAAAGAAGAAGGCAAGAACTCAAAACCACAAGACAGGAAGAAAGAAAAGAGTAAAACCAAAATAGAATAAACCTAATAATGAAAAGTAAAATGATTTATTTCAAAATGTGCTCAAATATACATTTATTTCAAAACACATAAATTTCAAGCTAAAAAGGAAAAACAATGTAGTTGGCACATTAGATTCATGAAAGATCAAATCATATGTACAGAGCAATATTTCAAAGGATCTAACATAAAGATAATTAGGATTTTCCAATAGATTAATGAAGGTGTAATATTTACTAAATATTCCATAAATTAAGGAATATACATAAATTAGTCATGAGAACAAATTAGTATATAAACCATATCAATTATGTTCTTTTAAAGTAAGAAAAAACCCCACAACTTTAAAAAGCAGCCGAAAGGGTGATTTTTAGACCTAATGCTGTATAAATATAAACATAAATATATAGCTCTTGGTTCATTGTAATGCTTTTTTGTTTCATAAGCTTTTTGATTTTTATAAAATCTATCATTTTATTTGTCTCTCTTTTTTTTTTTCCCTCTGGTACAGGGAATCGAACTCATGACCTTGCGCTTGCCAGGCAGGAGCTGTGCCACTGAGCTAAATCCCCAGCCCCTTTTATTTGTCTCGTAAACAGACTTTTTAAGAGACATTTACAAGTTAATCTTTCTGGGTAAGGAAGAATATTAAAAGTTACTAAAGGTAGCAGACGGTCATCAAATATGAACAACGATTTAACTGACAGAAAATTCTCATTACTGAAAAGAGCTCAGGGGATAAAAAGCTACTAGCGTTAGTGTGCTAAAAAGGGGCAAAGTTGTCATTCTAAAATTTTATATTTGGCCAGGATATGGCTCAGTGGCAGAGAATTTGCCTACCATGTGTGAGACCCTGGGTTCCATCCCCAGCACTGCAAAAATTTATTTAAACTAGGACTCTCTTGAATGGATGAGAGAAAAGTAAGACATTACAGAACACACAAGTTAGGATACAGAAGACCTGTCAATTTTCA